CAACTGCGGAGAACATTCAGACTTGGTTGCACCATCACTTACTGAAAAGTTGCCCCTAGGGTGCTTATCAAATGAAGCAATTAAATCAATAGCTCCAGTGGGAGATTCCATTAATTTGTCGTTGCCTCCAACTCCCGTGGTAACATACCCAGATCCTCCTTCACTTTGTAGTCCAACAGTAGCATGTGTCATCCCTTCAAGGAATGCAGAGTTTTCTTCCAATTTTGATGCAATGGATTCACCAGTGTCACTGCAGTGAGCCACCTCCTTTACAAGTCTCTTTGAATTCTGAGTTGAAAATAGCCTGCCAGATATCCCTGCTTGTTTGGAGGAAAAGACTCATCTTTTAGCAGAAATTAGAAAAGGAAAACAGAAGTATTAAAACAGGGTAACAAGTGATGGTAACAAACCTTCAGCTTGGCCCATATTTTCACGCGACTCTTGACCCAGTTTGACAACGTTTCCCTGCTGCTTTCTGCCTGTATCACTATGATTTGAACTCGTACACTTCCAGTGCGAAAGAGCCTGCATATTTCACATGTATGTACTCTAAGCTTCCAAGTAAGGTGTTGCACAAGCGATGACAACACATGCAATCTCTATGTGGAACTACATGAAGCCAACCTACTTTGGAAAAGAAATTTTGCTCACAGAGGTACAGACTAAGAGAATCAAGACTTGTCAAGTAGATTGCGGTATCAGAATGACCCCTTATAAAAAAGAACAAAACTCTTACTCGATAGTTACTTAACTTGTAATAGTGCAAACAACTAACGAATTTGACATTCAAAGAACACTACATGGATGCCCTTAACCCAATATCAAAAGATAAGAAAATGCTCACTCGGGTAGCACTTTTGTCTTTGATTTTCTGTGTAGATGATCCATAATCACTAGATTGGTTACTCTCAGCATTGTTCTCAGCTGTGGCTTCAACTTTATGTTCTGTAGCAGTTAGATTATGAGGAGCACATCCACCGGCTAGCTGATAAAATGTAAAGGAAATATCAAAAACTAAAAAATCAACCCAACTTATATGCTAGTTTTCAACCAAGAAAAAATGTAACAAAATGTGAGCAAAGTGCATACCTTGTGTCTTCTCCAAACATGGTGCCACAGATTCCTCAACTCATTCCTCCGAACAGGCTTGATAAGAAAGTCAGCTGCACCTTTTAACATAAACTTCAGAACCATGCTAAATGAATCTTCTGATGACATCACTGGTTTAATAATACACAAAAATATTTTAGCTTCATTTTTAATCAAGTACAATTAATAAAATATAGAATATAAATTAAAGATGCCAAAGCATCGATCAAATTTTTAGTTGAAATTACTTACTTATAACTGGAATATTTTTGCAGATATCATGTTCCATGACCAAAGTAAGAAGCGCGTATCCAGATATTGAAGGCAACTCTACTTCAGTCAATATAAGATCAATGTTATGAGGTCGATCCTTTAAAGTCTCCCACGCCATTAAACCATCAGGAACAGCCGCAACTATTGAGGGGAAAAAAGTGAAAATTAGAAATTAAAGAGAAGCAGAAGAATCAAACTAGTAATACAATTAATTGATAGATCTAAATAAAAATAACAACCGATTTAACAAAAATGAAGAAAGGAAAGGTAAAGAAGAAACCTCTGTAACTGCATTTACGAAGAAGAGCGGTGATAATCTGACGAGTGGAATCATCGGCTTCGACTAAAAGTACTCTAAGAACCATTCGCGGTAAGAATCGTTCCAATCGAAAAACCTCCATGGATCCATCTTTTTCGTCATTCTTCTTCTTCTTCTCCGCCGCTCCTACCTCCACGTCGACTTCCATTTCAACTTCAACCATTTTCAGACACCCTATTCAGTAGTAGCACAACAGGAAACTCTATTTCTTAGTAAAAGAGGGGGAAACAGAGTACGATGAAGTGGAAAGGAAGAGACGAAAATTGTTAGCGGTGTAATTATCCAATTAACCACATCCTTAATCCAATAAAAAAGCGTAAAAAATTGAAGAAATATCTGGAAAGTTCTGAGAGAATTGAAAACCGCCGGAGTGTTTTCTGATATCCAACTTTCGTTTACGGCCGCTCTAACCACATAAAATATCTTCGTCCTCTTTGAATAGCAGAGAAAGAAAATGAAGCGAAGACTTTCTGGTTAAAAAACACCAGTTGGGGAGGAGTTGGATCAAAAGGTGGGCCGCCATTGGCTTCTGGTAGGTTAAGCTGATGTGGCGCAACACGAGCCACTGTTTTTTAACGTGATTTTGTGTGATGGGGGGCGGTGAAATCTAGTGATCGTCCACGCTGTGTGGTGGGGGCCGCAAGGGGACGAAGGGACACTTGTCGGGATCATGTGGTACTCCGGGTAATATATTTTCTGAGGCGTTTACCACGTCACCACGCTTGGGATCTCATGGTTGAGAATTCGACACGTGGATAACTTAAGAGAACATAGAATTTGTGGCGTTTATCTTACGTTTAGCTTCATGTGAAGAGAGTTTTTCTGTTCATAGTTTGGTAGTTTATGACATTTTCCTTAGAATTTTGCTGTGGATTTTATCATTTTTGTTGGGTATGGAAGGGAGGGGACTCTTTTAATTTATTGCTTACAAGTTCATTTTCTATTTATAAATCTGTTTAGTTATTTTATTCTAAAATCAATGAAATTAAATTTTAATTGTTTAATTTAATTTTTTAAATCTCTTTAATTTTAAAATAAACAAAATTAAATATATTAAGATTGACATTACCACTTGTAATTTAGTTAAAATTAGACTAGGATGAAATCAATAAATGAGATATAAAAGAAAGATGTTGATATAATTAAGTTAAGGCGACTCATTCATATCGTTAATTGGAATTATTATAAAGTATATTTTATACATTTTATGTGTGGCTCATAGTCTTATAAAAGATGGGATTGAAATGTAAGCACAATCTTTTTTTTAAACATGATATTAACCGACACATTATTCATACCCATCTAATTTAATAAAAGATATAAAGTTATTATAACTACATATTAGGATTGTAGGTTGTAAGGTTAGAGTTATGCATACCAGATAAACATGGTCTATTACAAAAACAGACACACCCCTCTATTTATTCTTGGTCTATTATGCTACCTAAACTTTATATGAAGACCTTAATATAACAAGAGTTGAAGTATAGACCACGAAGGATATTATTTTGAACGATTTTTATGTAACAAATACTAACAATATAACGGGTTTTGGAATCATTGAATCGGTGAAACAAAAGATCGGTTTACAAAACTTGAAGGTAAAGGAATAGCCATTGATATATCATAGAAAGGCATAAAGGAAGAACAAGAAGTAGGGGTTGGTGGGTTCACTTGGGAGCTTATTGAGAAAGAATTTAGTTGGTGGGTGATGAATCTCAAAGAAAGCTAAGGAAGAGTTGTCTAACATTACTAAAGAAAGCCAATGAAGAGTTGTCAAGCATTACTAAATGTCTGTCTATAAATAAAGTTTTCTTCTTTGTTTTGGCCACGGTCAACATCCCAATAAGCCCATGTAGGTGCCTTGAAAGATATCAGAGCAATGCTAGAGTTGAACTTTGAGCACATATATTCATTATTGCTTTGGGCTCAAAGGTACAAAATCAATCTTTTGAACCACTTTGATACAAATATGAACAACACAGCATCGGATGCTCTCTGCAACCGACACAAAACCATCTATTAATTAGTGCCTAAAAAAGGTAATTAAAAGACCCCCTATCCTCCTATGACTGAACATGTGTGATGAGTTTGATGTCTGAAGATGATAATAAAACAATCCTATCGAGAAAGAATTGTAGACGGTTAGTAGAACGAGGTTTATGTATGAAACTTTCGTTCCTTGACTGAACAATCCCCTGTTTGGAATTTACCCGAGTTCCATCTCTTGTTATGCTAGTTGATCAGGCATGAAACATTCTAATCTAGAATCAGTAACTTCTGTTCTTTTTACTCAATTGTTTCCTCTTTTCTTGTGATGGACTAACACGGTGGTTTCTTTTCAGTAGGTGTATTGGGAGCTTGTGCTGGACCTGGTCCCGTTCCTATTACCCTGGTTGTTGCTGCAGGTGGCGGTGGCGGTGATGATATTTTCATTGTTGCTGCTTCTGGTAGTGTTGGTGTCGTCGTCGTTGCTGCTGCGGTTTCCATAGTTGTTGCTGCAATGCCTGCTGCAGATATTGTTTGATGATTATCACCTATAGGCGCATTTTGCATTGAAGTTCCTTCCAATTGGCACTTATAAAGCAAAAGACTAACTGGTTGCGAGCTACAGTAAAAGTACTCTACAAATGTATTTATATAAAACAATCACCCGTGGTAGTTGCTGGCATGGGCATTGAAGATGGAAGCGCAAGGCTCTTAACCTTGTGGTCGTGGGAGCGACTCCCACAGTGGGCAATTCATAATTCTAACTGTCGGAGGTCTCCTACGGAAGCTGCTCTCAACCTGGCGTTGGGGCAGCCTACTATCCTACCTCTCTCTTACCTCATTACGTAAGGGAATAGGGTCAGCTAATTAATATGATTTGCAGACATTGAACACCAGAACCATCAGCTTGATTAGTTTGTGCATGTTGAGCATAAAGTGGATACAAATTATGTAACATCCCCAGCATCACCGATGCCCCAGCAGCGAAGTAGGGTGAAAACTGTTGACCTCCATAGATTTTATAATAGTTCTGCAAGCCAAACATTAAATTTCAGGTAAAGCCATAACAAGGAACTAATATAGTATAATCTCTGTTTGCATTTTGTAAACACTAACCAAAGGATAAATGCCTTCTTCTAAATATCCAGTATACCTGAAAGTAAACAAATAGAGAATGATGGTGAACAAAAACATAACAAAATGAAACAAAATGCCATTGTATTTCAATTTCTAAAATATTAAACTCACCCATGAACCGAATAAGGAATTGAATATTGACCAGTAGGTTGTTGGATATAAGCTGAGGGACCATGGTAGCCAGTTGGTGCCATCAATCCTGGATCTGGAGCTGGTCCAAACTGTCCTGCCCCCTGTATTTAATTGGTCTTCCTAAATTAAAAAATTATAGTAAACCTCTGGTGTTTTAGATCTTCAAAGAAATGGAAATGGTTTTTTTTTTAATATTTGAAATACCACTACCAATGCTAAAAAGATATGTGAAGGGAAGGGAAGAAAGAAAGAAACCATGTTGAGAAATTGGTGGAGTCCTTTGAGTACCCAATGCAGCGAGATTGCAGTTGGTTCGCCTTCCATCAATGATAGGGGAAGGGTTTTGACATGCTCTCGTAGCTGCCTCTGGATCCTTAAACGTAACCTGGAAACAAAAGATGAACAAAAAGGAGTTATTTTTCATTATCATGGTATGATTAATAAAGGAAAACAATCAAGGCTTTTGTCAATAGAAGGGGATCAAACAAGCTTACAAAGCCATATCCCTTGGATCTTCCAGTTTTCTTATCTGTGATCACAACAGCCTCGAGAATCTCTCCAAATTGCCCAAAATAACCACTCATGGTATCTCTTTGAGTTTCCCATGCCAATCCACCAACAAAGATTTTCGTAAAAGTCGCGTCATTGAACAGCCCTGGATTGCTACCACCCACCATTTGGAATTGCCTTCGTTGAGACATCGAAAAAGAAAGGGACAGATACAGACTCCCAAATAAAACAGGGGAATATAGCTCGAAGAAAAGGAGAAACAAGGACCTTCTTCTTCTTCTTCCTCCTCTTGCAGTTGTTTTTCTAATTCTATAATAATAACTGCCACTTTCACAACCAAAACTCCTTAGGTTCCTCCATTACTGTTGAGAAAGCTGAATTAGAGAAAAGAAAAGAAAAGAACTTTATACATAAATATATATACTCCTACCTATACCGAGTTATAACACAACAGAGAGAGAGAAAGGATGATAATATGAAGCAGAATGAGAGAAATAAAATAAAGGAAAACCAGCAAAAGCTGCTAGTGCGTACCACGGCCGTAGCAGGCAAGGTTGTCGAATGAAAAAAATCAAAGACTTGGACTTTTTTTTTCAAAACTCTCTCTCTCTTACAACCACAGATCACATATATATATATATATACACACATATCAGCGTGCTGAAGCCTGAAGGAGGGGACTCCTTAACATCTGCTTCGCTGTATCCAACCTTGAAATTTATTTATTTTTTCCTCTCTCCCTTCCCTGGGTATTTGCATGTTCTGTTTCAACCATTTGTGGGTCTGAGATATCATTCGCTCATTCATACAACCTTGAGAGTCTGGGTTGTCTTTTTCCTTTTCCTTGTTTCTGTTTCTCTTCATTCAACTCCCTTCTTCCTCTGCAGCAATTTTCCTTAACCGAAAAAACAGCATCGATATCGATGGATGGGCCAAAATTTTCTGCCAAAATTTTTGAGGTTGGGTTTTCACGTTCTTAATGAATTTATAGTTTAGGATTTGGATTGTCCCAATAAGATGGGTTTGACGAATCTACCGACTAAAAAAGTTGAAATTATCACTATTATAGAATTCATAATCTAAAATTTGATGGTTCTAATGAGACAAACTTGTCGTAACCGTCTTTCGGTTGGGCCCCAGAATTGGGCTTCGACTTAGGAAAATGGATTGGAGTCGCCACCGATCATTTATTTAAAGATAAATGGGTTGATCGGATACCCTATTTCTTACCTGATCTGCGTCTTACCAGAAATATGTCGGGCTCGGGAGTCGGTTACAGTCAAGGAAGGATTAGCACCCTTGAACCGCCCTTTCGGTACTACGTAATTTCCAGTTGTCTTAATTAAGAAAAATAACAAGTTAAATTAAAAGATAAAATAATAATCCAAAATTACTTACCTTTGACGGATTTACAAATATACCCTTTAAAAGTCAAAATATGGGTTAGAAGAGATGAATAAATAATAAATAAAGTAAAACAAATAAAATAAGGAGATTAAGTAAGAAATAAAGTAAATATAAAATGAATAGAATATATAAAATAAAAAAACAATAACACTAATATATGCACAACAAACAACTAAATAAAAATAAAATGATAATGCAAATAAATAAATAAAACAAGTAAAAGAATATAAAAACATAAAATATAGGATAAATATAAAAATAGATAAATAAATTAGTAAAATATAAAAAGTAAAAATATATATATATATATAAGTAATAATAATAATCAAAAGTAATATATATATATACATGCAAAATAGGAAATATATAAATATATATATATATATATATATATAATACACTAATAAAAAACATATATACATATATAAAATTAATAGAAATAATATGCATATATAACAAGAATAATAAAGTAGGGAAAAAATGATTTACGGGGGAGAATTAAATATTTTAAAAAAATGAACACGCCTCGGGGGTTGATCTAGGTTCGAAACTTCGAAATCCCACCCTTTTTTAGTCATCGGCGCAACCCACGTTTTGGGTTATTCGAACCAAATCTCAAGAAAAATAACGTGCACATGCGAGAAATGAACGAACAATGTAAAAAAAAGATGTTACCTTTTATTTCCTTTTCGAATTGTTTACAACAACTTTGCCTTTGTATTTTCCGTGCTTTCCTCTGTGTTTTGTGTGTAAATCGTGTCCTCAAATGGTGAGTTACAATGGCTATTTATAGTGCTTGTAGATCCTATCTTTAAGAATTTAAATAATAGTAGAACTCTATCCTATTTTTTGAATCCTAACAAAATTCTATCCTATCTTTAGGAGTTTGAATTCTAGTAGGACGAAAAGGTGTGTTGACAGCTGCCCCTCTTTGCCCATAGTCGTGTAACGGGGATAGGGCAAAGATTAAAAGACACACTTTTCGTTTGGTGGAGTTGAAAATTGACTCTGATGTTTCAATAACTCCCTGTCGAATTGAGTTACGGATGACTCCTCCATCGTGAAGTCGAGTTCATCTTGAAATGATATGAAATTAAAGCCGTAGTTCGGAATTTGAATCAGCACGTGGCTTCCCGTTACCCTGCGGTCTTCTTCTCGGTTTAAAGACCTTGGATCGGAATCGAACTCAGAAATCTTCATTGACAGATAGCTTTTTCTTGACTTAAGCTATGCTGTTTGAAAATGGTTGCTTGTCACTAAGGCACGGCTAACCCAGGTCCTCTTCTCGACTTGAAAACCTCGACTGCAACCGGAAAGTAGTGTGATTGATGTGTCATCGAGCTGAATGGAGTCGAACTCGACAATTTTGATGGCAGATAATCTTTCTTTGAGTTGGATATCCTTCGTCGTGAAGTTGAAATCCAAGTAAGTTGCATTGTTCCAAGTCCAATATCCTCCGTCGTGAAGTTGAAATTGGCTCTGGAACCGGGAAATTGTTTGTTGACAACCAGCCGTCCCTTCGTTGTGAAGTTGAACTTGTGTTGTCTCGAGTCCAATATCATTCGTTGTGAAGTTGAAATTGAATCTGAATGAAATTTTGTTGACAAGCAGCGGTCCCTTCGTCGTGAAGTTGAACTTGCGTTGTCTGGAGTCCAATATCTTTCGTTGTGAAGTTGAAATTGGCTCTGGGATTGGGAAGTTGTTGTTGACAAACAGCGGTCCCTTCGTCGTGAAGTTGAACTTGCATTGTCTGGAGTCCAATATCCTTCGCTGTGAAGTTGAAATTGGCTCTGAATGAAATTTTGTTGACAAGCAGCGGTCCCTTCGTCGTGAAGTTGAACTTGCGTTGTCTGGAGTCCAATATCCTTCGTTGTGAAGTTGAAATTGGCTCTGAGATTGGAAAGTTGTTGTTGACAAGCAGCGGTCCCTTCGTCGTGAAGTTGAACTTGCATTGTCTGGAGTCCAATATCCTTCGCTGTGAAGTTGAAATTGGTTCTGAATGAAATTTTGTTGACAAGCAGCGGTCCCTTCGTCGTGAAGTTGAACTTGCGTTGTCTGGAGTCCAATATCCTTCGTTGTGAAGTTGAAATTGGCTCTGAGATTGGAAAGTTGTTGTTGACAAGCAGCGGTCCCTTCGTCGTGAAGTTGAACTTGCATTGTCTGGAGTCCAATATCCTTCGTTGTGAAGTTGAAATTGGCTCTGAGATTGGGAAGTTGTTGTTGACAACCAACGGTCCCTTCGTCGTGAAGTTGAACTTGCGTTGTCTGGAGTCCAATATCCTTCGCTGTGAAGTTGAAATTAGCTCTGAAATTGGGAAAATTGTTTATTGACAACCAGCGGTCCCTTCGTCGTGAAGTTGAACTTGCGTTGTCTGGAGTCCAATATCCTTCGTTGTGAAGTTGAAATTGGCTCTGAAATTGAGAAGTTGTTTGTTGACAACCAGCCGTCCCTTCGTTGTGAAGTTGAACTTGTGTTGTCTCGAGTGCCACGATATCCTCCGTCATGGAGTTGAAATCGCGGATGGCCCCTTCGTTGTGAAGTTGAGCCTTGACTTGAATATCCTTCGTCGTGAAGTTGAAATCCAAGTATTGTATGTTGCGGGTGGACATAATTCCCTTCGCCGTGAAGTTGAAACCGTGGAGACCCCTTTATTGTGAAGTTTAGCTTCGAGCTAGATATCCTTCGTCGTGAAGTTGAAATCCACTCTCGAGCAAATTGTGTCGCTTTGAGTGCAATATCCTTCGCCGCGAAGTTGAAATTGACTCTAGCTAAAACCTGAAAAGTTATCCATATATGTGATGCTATGGATGCAATGCTCTTAGGTGTGCCTAAAATGCATATGCAACATATGTTATCTTGGGGCTCTGGAGAGAAATCTCGATCTCCAGTTGCCTGTCTGGAATCTTGATTCTTGAATCTTCAAATTTTGATCCCTGATCTTGAATTCTTCAAATGTTCAAATCTGATGTGCACATTCTATTTTTGATTTGAGAAATGCTTCTCGACCATCTCAAGTATGTGCTTGAGCTGAGTGTAACAGTTCAGATGATGCTTCAAAAGAAGTTGTCTTGAAAGAGATAGAATTCGTTTCAAGGGAAACGATCTCAAAGATATCTGTTGTTTCATGAGAAACAGTTTCAAGGGAAACAAAATTATGTTTTAAGGGAAATAAATTTGAAGATTTTGTGTTTCAAGAGTAACTGTCTCAAGGGAGACAAAATTATTTTTAGGGGAAATAAATTCAAAGGTTTTGTTTCAAGGGAAACTGTCTCAAGATAGACGAAAATTGTTTCAAGAGAAACTGTCTCAAGAGAGGCAAAACTTAGTTCCAAAAGAAACTGTCTCAAGGGAGACGAAATTTGTTTCAAAGAAAACATATTCAAATATTTTGTTTCAAGGGAAACTGTCTCAAGAGAGACAAAATTTATTTCAAGGGAAACTGTCTCAAGATAGACGAAATTTGTTTCAAGAGAAACTGTCTCAAGAGAGACAAAATTTGTTTCAAGGGAAACTGTCTCAAGAGAGAAAAACTCTTCTAGTGAAAACGGTCTCAAGTGAGACAAATCTTGTTTTAAGAAAAACAATCATGAGTGAAATAAATCTTCTTTCGAGTAAAACAGTCCCAAGTGAGACAAAGTCTGTTTTAAAAAAGCAATCTCAAGTGAGATAATCATCTGCATTAAATGAAACTGTCTCAAGCGAGACAGAATTTATATTGTAAATGTCGATCTTTCTGTCTGTCGAGTTGGTTGAAGTGTAGTTTCTTGCTGCTGAGCTAAACAACTGACATCAATCTGTAAAGGTGCTTTTGAATCGAGTATTCTTCGTCTTGAAGTCGAACTTGACTCT